AGAAAAAAAAAACACCCTCAACTATAGTTGCTGTCACATTTGATGGATCACCCCAACCCCCACCGAGCCCTTACGGATCCCGCATTCGACCACGCCCCCTACAGATTCCTCGGATCCGTGGATCCGTGGCGTAGAACTCTCACTTCTCATCTACTTTTGTACGGTAAAAAGCACCGATACCTAGAGTGCTGGTACTTTTTACAGTAATTTGATCCGAGATTTTTTTACAGTGTACTGATGAAATTTAGTATTGAGTACTCATTAAAAATCATAAGCACTGGAGCATTGTTTACATTTCTAAGTCAACAAAATCTAAATAAATCTGGGATTGCTATTTCTTAAAATTATTTGTCTTAAAAATGACGATGAGTAACTACCACAATATCCACTTTAAATTCTTAGCGTTGAATAGGGCCATGATCTTTTCACGAATGTGAAATTTTTGTTCCCCTGGGCTTCCTGAATTTTGTTTCAGGGGCTGATCTATTTATTCTTTAATCACATTAACTATGCATTTTATTTAAGTCAGAAATATTTAATTCGAGAACTTTAATCCTTTGACACAGAATATTTATTAAACATATTTATTATACTTTATTTCATTATTTTGTGTTAATTTAGGTCAAAACTAGTGAAAAATATTATACTTAGTATTTCACTAATTTATTGTCATGAAATACAGCATAAGGCACCGGTCTATTTTTCTGTGTTAAAAGTAAAATATTCCAAACACGACTTACATCCAAATAATAATTTTTCAAATTTACACTTATTTACAGTTAGATTCAATAGAAACAATTACTCTTTAAAATTTAATTGCCATTAAAATATCGTTAGTTGACAAAATCAATTATTGATAAATTTTTGAATATGAATGGAAAAAATCCTAACAGTTGCTTTCGGATTATATATTTGGTAATAATGCTAAGCAGATTTTTTTACGCAACCATCAGACTGTTTTTAATAATTAAAAAATACAAAAATATTTTTATTGCTTGTAGTTAGAGTGTCAGAAAACTATAAATAACAGGTGCAACGTTGTCTCATCTGTGTGAATGGGTTAAAGCTGGTTAACCTTTGTTTACTATTCTCTTACTTTAAATTCATTTAGTTTAGAAGTTTAGAATATGTTATTAAGTCACTTTGCTTGTAAAATGCATGACTTCTCTCTTTTTTTTATAATTCAAAGAGATATTAGCAAAATATGAATAACTTTGAATTTCTTATCGCTAAGTTATAAAATGCAACTATCTGATTTAATTTTGGAAGTCTTTCTAATTAAATATAATTTAAGCTAAAAATACAGACTATGAATTGTAGAGTGATTTGCACTGTAAAAAGTTTTGGCAGTCAGAGACCGGTACTTTTTACCATTTTTACCGAAACATGTTACGAAAAAAAATCTGATGTTTCATGATTTTCACAGAAATGGTTGTTCTAAAATCACTGAATCACTCTAATTGAATAAATATTGCTGTAAAATGTATGGCATAATATTTTATTGTAAAAATGAATTTTAATGTTTCGTGGATGATGCATCTAAATTGCCGGTACTTTATACCATAATTTGATGCAGTATTTCTTAAAGTGTTGTTTGTAGTTGTTATAATGTCACTTATTAAAATTTTTTTTGTAAATCTTGAGAGAAATAAAATTTAATTGGGAATTTATTTTAAATTGCTAAATGGTATGTTGACAAAATATTAAAACACTTGAAAACTGTACAGAAACTGTACTTTAAAACTGACAAAATATTAAAGCACTCAAATACTTATTTACTTGGTTTATTTAGCAAAGAGAGGTGGAAATTGTTTTTCATGGTAAAGTGAACCGTGGTCTAAAAAAGGTTGTGAGATAATGAGTTTGAAGAATGTTTTGAAAATTGTGTTAATACCTTGGTTAAAGTAATTTTAAATTAAAAATTCTCGATAAATTTTTTTACTATGCTCAAATAATTTGTTTTAGCTTTGCACTTTGAGTTTGGACTTGATGTGCTTTGTAGAAACACTTTGAATTGGTTGTGATAACCTTTTAGTCTAAAAACAATTCAAAATACTTTTATTTTGAGAAAAAAATAAAAGTATTATAATTGTTTTGAAAAGTATTTTAAAATGCTTTTTCAATTTCTAACAAATGAAAATTTCTGTAAGAGAATTTTTAATTCTTATTGAGAATCAAAGAATATCAATTAATCATTAAAACGTAAATTGGAAATCAGAATCAAGAAGTTAAAAATTCTTAACGTAAATTGGAGCAAGTTATCTGACATTTGTGAATATTTATGAAAGCACCTTTATTTCTTTATTGAATATTAACCTTATTTCTTATTAAATATGAATGTAAATTGAAAATGCAAGTTATCTTTCATTTGTGAATATTTATGAAAGCACCTTTATCTCCCCTTTTCATATATTTAACAGATAATTCAAATAGTCAGCCAGATGATATTTTCTGAAATTTTCTTAACACATTAATTTAGTAATTTAATAATTTCAAAACTATTCATAAATTAAGTAAAAAAAAACAAAGTATTATCAGACGATATTTTTTGTACTTTCCTTTAAAATTATTAAGTAAATTAATAATTTTAAAATTAGGCATAAACTAATAAAAATAAAAATAATCCATTTTGCTCTATCTTGTATTTAAATTGCTTATTATAATATTTTGTTGCCAGATTCAAATCCCTAGTGCAAGCAGATCTTTATTGGAAAAGCATTAATATTATCTTTCAAGCAAGCGATTTTAAATAAACTTCAATATGACGCAAACAACTCTTCTTTCAACAGGTCGCCGACCTCGGAGAATCAATACATTTTTAAAGGAGATAAAAGTAAACAAAAACATTATCTTCATGCATAGATACATTCGACTGAGAAGAAGAATACTTCAATTTTTAAAGAAAGCACTTTCAAAATTTCTGAAAGAAGACTTTCACCGGAGGATGGCGATATAGGAGAATGAAGAGCTGGTTTAGAGTTTACCTTGTATTTTCCTCCAGGTGATTCGGGGAGTAGGGTGAGCGGTGGCGGCACAGGTGAGGAGGATTTGAGATCCCACAACAACTTCAGCATCAGTCGGTTCTTCTACCCACACGGGAGGAACTAAAAGAATAAAATTAGAAAATTAAAAAATTCTGAAGAAACTAAGCATTTATTCACGAAAAGATAGTGTGTGAACACCTTGAGTGCTTTATAATTTTATATGATAATTAGGTATATTGTGGCAACAAAAATATTCATTTTAAAGTAAATAATTTTAAGAAAGTCTTGTGAGATATGTTAATGCAAGTACGTGCCTGCAAAATTATTTATTATTGATTATTTTTTAGAAAAGTCTCATCTAAGTTTGTTCAGAGTAATGCTTTGAAAACTTGCAGATAAGTTCATAACGATTTTTCATGCATAAATTTTATTACAAAGTGATTATTTTTTAGAAAAATCTTTCCTAAGTTTGATCAGAGTAATGTTTTGAAAACTTACAAATGGATTTATAATGATTTACGCTACTTTTTTCATACATAAATATTATTAAAAAATGATTATTTTTAGAAAAAGTTTTGAGGAATACTTGCTGATAGGTTCATAATGATTTATATGGTTATTTTTTATACATTATTAGTACGTAGCGAATAATTTTCAGAAAAGTCTTATCAAAGTAATGCAGTGAAAAATCCCTGACAGGTTCATAAAGATTTGAAGTTCTATAAATCTCTTTGGTTATGATAATAATAATTATCCTAAATATTAAACCAAAATGGCACAGCAGCTAAGGCACTGAGCTTACATTGTGACGAACACTGTTCTACTCCCGGCGAAAGTTTGAAGTCCACCCAGCTTCCGATCGATGTCGAGAAGTAAAGGCGACCGATGCGCAATACGTGCTACATTTAAATCATCGTGCTGTTGGTCAAGAAATGTTTGTCCGTAGCAAGATTGCTTTACTTTGTAATAAATTAATCGAGGTCAATTATGAAGCCTAAGAGATATTTTTGTATCTAAAGATTTCAAATAAGCTACCAAAATCTAACAAAGTTGTTTGGCTGTCAACTGAGACATGTTAAAATTATCATATATTCGTCACCATTAAACCATAATAGTTGATTAACCATAATCTTTATGGATTAATCATCATTGCTATATAGCATCAGCGAGTAATTATCATTATATTAGCTTTGTTATAGTAAAATAAGTTTGCACTATTTGTGATTAATAATAAAAGCCTGTAACAAAATTGTTTGAGTACAATAAAAAATTATACATAACTCAAAAATCAAGATACAATAAATTAGAAATTTAGTTAATGATACTTTTATTCCGCATGAGAAGAGGTGATGCTAAAAATAGAATTTGTCACAACATTGCAAATTTTCATGAAATACAAAAAAGTTATACGTTCTAGCCAATTTCACTGTAAATAAAATTTAATTAAAAAATATTAATACTACGGTTATTACATTTAAAAATTAATGAAACACGTTAGGTGGTGAAAGGACAGCACTTTTTGCACTTTCAATCATAAATGAGAAAAGTCATTTTCTCATTTATGATTGAAAGATATCTATGTGAAAATTATTTAACAGACAATTTTTTTTCTTCCTTTGTTTAAATTAAAGAAGGTACCTGAGTCATTTAAGGAATTGTTAGAAATTCTTACAATGAATCTAACAAAAAATTGAAAAATGAGTAATTTATCAAAACTGTTTTTTTAATGTAGCTATTGATCAATATAAAATTTCATCCATTAGTAATTTTTTTAAGTATAGTTTTTTCATTATGTTCCCTTACTCGACAAAAAGATAATTACTCTCCTTATTAAGATAATCATTATCTTTGTCCATAATTACTTCCTCTAGTTTGAGCGCAATTATGATGGATATAGAGGCGTATTTTGAAAAAAAAAACTTGGAATTGAGAATTAAAAAAAATATTACGGAAGTCCATTTTCAAAATTCAAAGGGGTGATTTTCCCCTCAAATATTTTTTTCTCATTTGTTTGCTAAAACAAAAGAAAACCGGTTAGTTCGTCAGTCTCAGAACTCGTTTCGATATTAAAAAGAACAAGAATTAGTAGAGATATATCTTTTGTTTAGAATGTAATACACATATTAAAAATATAAAGTTTAAAATAGTTATAGTTGAAGTAAATGGATTTATTGCCTGCTTGAAATGGATTTTTAATTTATAAAGTTAAACAAAAATGGTATCTAGTTTTTAGAAATTTTTTTAATTTTATTTATTTCAAATATATATATTTATAATTCAATTAAAATTGTGGTTAGCAGTTATGGAATTTTGATGGAAATAGAATAAATTTAACAATTTAATTATAACGCGGTAAAAATATAGATACCGAATTAAAAGATTAAATGATAATAAAGTATACAATACATTTATTAATAAAGTATAATAATTGTGTTTATTAAAGCAATCATAAATTTTTAACTGGAACGTAATATACCCATCATTTTCTCATTAAGAATTATTGAAGTTATTGCTATTATTCAATACAAAACTATTATTTTTATGTTATAAGAAATTGTATGAGTTAGGCTGTAATTAATATTATGTAATAAATCTAATTATGTTTAAAAATCTAATAATGGTATCGCAGTTTTTCATTGTTCGGCTCCAGTTTTCTCCCGTTAATTTCCATATTTTTTCGGTTGTCATTTGTATAAAGTTAATAGAAGTGATAAAGATATTGTTTTGTTGTAAAAATATTTTCATGTCTCAAATTTAAAGGTAATCTGTAATGTTTTTCTTATTTTAGTCTGCTATTAATACGTTTTTGCTTTTGACTGTTTTCTAATTTAAGAGTTTAGAATTAAATGAGTTGTTTTTTTACTATAAGGCAAGTCTATGATATTACCTTACTGTGGTTCATTTTAAGATAAACTTCCTTAAAATAGTATCTATTCTTATTTAGTGTCTTGCAATTATTATTTTCTGGTGTAAGTTACAATAATAGGCTTTTAAAAATTACCATTAAAGCTATTTGTTAAATGATTTAGAAACTTAACTAACAGCTTCATGCACAATATGATGCATGGTCAAATAGTATTTAATACATCAACCTGTTTGGTACGAGAAAATATGAAATTATAGTTGTGTACTAACACAATTTTCATAACAATATGCCTTAAAAATAAGTACTAAAGAGATAAGGATTTTAAAAATGCATATTAAAGGTTGTCTTTACGGAGCAACTTGTATAGTTAAGAATTTTTAATACTAAAGAACATTTAAAAACTTAATATTATGCATATTTTTAAGAAAAGTAGACTCGAAAAATGTATTAATAAAATAGAACTTTTGACTTTTAAACCAAGTGTTAACTTAATCCAATATTTATCGAAAGCAAAATTTTAAAAAAGTTCTTAAAATCATTCAGAACTTTTAATTGTATATTTATAAAGTAAAAAAATAATAACAAAAGTAAAACAAAATATAATTTATAATGAGTAAATAAAATAAGGAAATATTTAGATTTAAGTTCTTATGAACATTTTAATATTTCCTTGGCGAATTCAATATTTAGATCATTTCTCACGAGACGGCGTATTCAATAAAATTTCCATTTATTAAAAGCTTATGGAATATTTCCGGAACAATTTCGACACTTTTGCACAAAACTATAATATATATCCATTGAAACGATATGAAATAACTCAAATTCCTCAATGAGTTCTGAAGTTTGAAAGAAAAGAACGAAATTTATTTCACTTTCGCTGGAGAAAAATGGCGAGAAAAGTTCCAACCGACTGGATCGATATTCAGTAGCAGAACACTTGAAATATATCTATAGCTATTCATACCTACATTTATATTTAAAGAAATGAACTCGCTTTGAGCTTGTCAAAAAAGTATGTTTCCTTTATGTAATAAATCGAAAAACGAAGAAGAAAATTTCGTTTTCTTCCATTTCAATAATGAGATTTTTCAACTTCCCTTGCCATAAGCAGCGAGAAATTTTTAATGAGAATTCCAGAAAAGTCTCCCTTGTTTATGTTTTATTTCTTCAGAAAGGAAATAAAGTTGCTTGTTTTAGCTCGCAAGTGGACTTGAGATTTAGATACAAAATATTTTCGCATTAGTGAGATTGAGTAATGTTTTTTTTTCTGAAATTTATTTTTAGGTCTCTTGAGTGTTTCGTTTGAGTTAAATTTATCTCGGTTAAAAAGCGTTAAAGAAAGTGAAAAATTGTAAGTTTATTTTGTTGGATAAATTTGGTTTTTCATTTTAAGTTGTTGTAAGCTCATAATCTGATTTAAACAGATTTATATGGTGATAGTAAGGTTTATTATTATTGTTTTAGTAGATTTCAGAGTAGGCAAAAATCACGATTATTATTTTTTTTTTTAAAAAAAAAGATTTATTTGATTTAAATCAGATTGTATTTTTATATTTTTTTGTATTTACTAGCTAAATCACGTATTATTAATACTTAATAATATTTAAAAACAATAATATTTAAAAACAATAATATCATTAAAATAGTTGATATTTTCAATTCAAATGTTTAAAATTATCATTCAATTATTTTAAATTAATTACCGAATAAATATTTATTCAAGCGAAAAATCCAAAAATTTTAAAGAAAAAGAGACTAATTTTCAATTAGATTTCCAATGAAGAATAAATTAGTTAGATCTAAATACATTAAGTAAAAAAAATGATTTTAAATTTCTACTTTCTTATATTGCGCAGAACAATTCTTTCTTTATTATGAATATACATATTTAAAATATTATACTACATATATTATACTACATATTTACAAAGTTTTAAAAGCACTTAGATGTTAATAAACATAAAAACAGATCGGTATGATTGAAATATATTTATTATCAGCAAATAATTTTACATACAGTTAATGGATAAATTGTGCTTCCAAAGTTTCACACTCTTTTTTTAGACTTCATAGTCTCTCTTCTTTTCTATTTATTTTGAAATTGAATAATTTACTTATAACTCCCTTTCATTATTCAATTGGCTAAATCCTTTATTTTCAATTAAATAAGAATTTAAAATGACCACAGCCTAAAGAATATATTTAAAAATAATATTGTATAAAAATATGTTCGACTTAAGACGTTTACTTT